GAAAAAAAAAAAAATTAAGGGTAGAAAATCATTCTCTGAACGTGAGGCCCTGGTTTTGATCAGAGTGTGAATCAAAGCCTGACTCTTAGACTACTTTAACATTCACTTTTAAAAATTCCAAACTGATTGTACTTTTATGGAAATTTCCTGCCATCCGTGACTGCATTCCCTCCTATATCCAAGTCCTCCTGTATCCCAGTAGATATCCTGAGTCTGCCCTTCATTAGAATTCTCTTGGTTAAGAATGCGATAGAAATGAGCAGAAGATGTAAATTCAGTCTAAAAGAAAAGGTTTAGATCTTTTCCCTTTTTTGTCCAGGGAATAGACGAAAAGAATGGAGGAAAAAAAAAAAACATAGCTACACCTCATCACTGAATCAGACCTGACACCAGGGCAGAAGACTGGAGAATTTCTTATGAATATGTTGCCATTCACCACAGTCGTAGTCGTGGTCTTAATAGAATATGTGCTCCACTTTTTCATTATTATTATTATTATTATTATTATTATTATTATTATTATTACACAGTGCCTCTCTGAAGCAGCAAAACATTTAAGCATTAGAAATAGTTTATTGTTTGATTTGTATTTCAGTAAATAATAGTTAATAGATGTTTATTTATATAACATTTAATAATGCTAAACATACAATTCTCTATTATATTCATGACATTAACAGCCTGTTTGGGTTGAACATGTAGAGGAACAAATGTTTTTATCATTTTTTGTGTCACTTCAATGTTATTTCAGTTATTTCATAAAATGAAGACGGCATTTACTGTCACACACCAGTGCGTACTGGTGCATACTTTTTTTCACACAATACTTATATAAAACTCACTGTTCCATATTCATTCATAATATTCTCATCATTAAATAATCACTACTTTAATTAATGGCACTGACAATCAGTTAAGTAGAACCACTGTTGTATGATTACATTTTTAATATCAATTAAAATATTTAATATTTTCTTAATTGTAAAATGAAAAGTGCAGCGTTGTTATGCAGTGCGTTCCATTGCTGTTGAAAATTAAATGTTTATGCTGTCAGACTCATACTCAGTAGGTCCAATTATAATAATTAGAATTGTATAGTTATAATTATAAAAACACTTGTATGTCCTTATTTTTTATAGCTGAATTAATACATTTATTAATTTTCACATTGTAGTATTTGAATGTTTATAGCATGTTTTCTCAGAAGTATAATTTGATTGTGGTTTTAAAACAGAATAGTATGAAGGAAGGACTTGATCCTTGTCTCTTCACTGATGTTTCACCGAGAAGGAAAAGATGCGAAGCTGCTATTGTTTCTCTCCAACCCTTAAAATGGCTTCACAGCCAGAAACGACCAGCATCTGAACCAGCAGCCACACAGCAGCTCTCAGATCCTAATAATATCTCAGCGAACTCAGCACTGTGTGGTTAACACACATTCACTTTTCTTTTTCTTTCCCTCTGCTTTTATTAATGATGATTTTTCATACTGGAAAAATAAAACAAGGAAAAAAAAAAGGCTTTCTCCAGACAAACGCTAAATTCCCATGCAAAGTTTAGCGCACGAAGGATTAAAAGTGAATGATTACTCCACAACTATTCCAGGGAGGGTCGGGGAAGAGAGAGAAAGAGAGAGGAGAGAATGTGGAACAAAAACATCAAAGGGCTGTGGACGGAGGAGTAAAAAGGGAGAAAAGATGTAAAATATTTAGTAGCACGTCCCAACAGGTGGTCAAGAGTGCAGTGAGAGCCTGTGCTTTCATTACCATCAATATTGTATAGTGCTTGCACCTATGAAAGTCAATCATTTGTATTTCCCCTAATTGTCAGAGACGAGTCGTTTACACTGAATTTAAAGCCACTACAAAAGGACAGTAGTTTAATTACATGTAATCACGTTCACTGTTGTAAAATTACAACAACTACATTCTACTTAATATACTTAAATATAAATAAATATTTTTGAAAAATGCGTTACAGACTGTAGCAACATTTATTAGCTAATGGCACATCTGACTTTAGAAAATTATTTTAAAACATTTTTTCGTAGCAGTGTGGCTCTGGACTTAAGATTTTAGAGTGTAATCTGTGGGTAACACTGTGAAACAATTGTGATTTTGGTTCTTGCTGTCAAATAGACTTGAAGTCTGTGGTCATCATTGTCTGAGGCTCCACAGCTCAGTGCAGCAGAACGTTTTTATCAGGTATTTATTTAGCACATATGCTATTTTGCCCTAAAAATATTTTTCTTTTATTTCTGTTACACTCATAAAGACTTACATGAGATTTATCTGAATAGAATGGAAATATTAAAAACAAGGCTGA